CCTTGAGGACACAATGAAATTCCCCGGCCAGTTCCCGCAGCTCATTGCTCAGTGCAGCTGGCACACACGTACTTGCAGCAATCTGCTTTACCCTTACATCATGAGCATCTCTAAATGAAGAGCACACTGAGGTTTCTGAAGACTTGTGCAGCCCTTCCCTTAGCGCTATACAGAACTAGCTGAAGATGGAAGTTAAGACTCCTCAAATAAACATCTTTAAACAAAAAGAGCCGAAGGTTCTGTGACAACGTGCAATGGCCTAGCCCATGCTGCCTTGGGGCACTGCATGCACACGAACAGAGGGACTAACCTCTGTGCACATCCATGTCTAGTGCAGGGTTGCTGTTTGGTGTTGAGAACTGAATCTAAGGTCATGCTCTAAAAAAAACCACAAATTGCCTTTTAGCCTTCCAGGAACTTACATGACTTTCACTTCATACAGATCTATCAATCTTAAAATTTTTACTGTTTAACACAAAGCTGAAACAATGGGCTAGAGAAAAGAAAGCTAGTCAAAGCAATCATGTATACATCTATTTTATAGCTACTTCTTCTGCCTAGTCCCTCCCAAAGTTAGCCTGAAAAACAGTAAAATCTACACAAAGTTTTATTGCAATCATACAAGGGATACATCAAGGGTCAAATACAACAAATACTATGATGCAATTTTACATTTATTAAACTACAGTTCAAAGCACAAATTTACACATTCTAAATACACTAAAACATCTAATGAAGTCACACTGGTCTCCCACTGACATTTGATATATCTGGGCGAAAGACAATAACTTTACAAGACTTTTCTAACAGGAATCCTTAGTATAAAAACTGTGTACTTGTATGTAAACTGTTGAAGAACCCAAGTGATGGGTTTCCATCTCCACTAAGTCATCCATTTTGTTGCATATTTAACGCTCAGGGGTTGAATGAAGTTGATTTTAAATTTGGACACCATTATCTAACCCTCCCACCCCCCACTGAATTGTAGCTGTAGCTTGTTTTGCCTGGTCCCCATTAGCTAGTACTATTTTTTCAAGTTTTGAAGAGAATGAATTGAATTCAAGATTGTTCCATTTCTTCCACACTGGAATGTTGACCAGACAAACTACAGACTTGCAACTGCAGGTCTAATGAAGCGTTAATGCCTGTTTAAGCTGCAGTGGAAAAGCGATCTTCCGGGCTCAGCTGAATGCAAGAAGGCACAAAGAAGAAGTTCTTCATCAATGTGTCTGAAGCAATTCCAGCATCTTGCATCTCATCCCTGCAGCAGAAAAGGGGGAGAGTTGTAATAACTGTTTTCAGGTACAATTCGACATCAGGAACAAGTCTCCATACAGCACTTGAAGCCACCAGCCCCGGCATGGCCTGGCTCCAGCCTCAGCAGAAGGGAGGTCAGCTCTGTCAGTGCTTGGCAGACACAGAAATGCCACCACTCTCCACTGGCAGAAGCACAAGGCCCTGCCTACTTCAGTATGGGAACAGGTTACAAAATTCACGGTCACCACAACA